GTGCAGTGGCACGCTCATGGCCAGTGTAGCCTCGACTTGTTGGGTTCAGGTGAACCTTCCACCTCAGTCTTCCAAGTAGCTGGAACCACAGGCATGGGCCACAATGCCTGGCTAATAGTTTTATTTATTATAGAGACGAGGTCTCACCATGTTGTTCAGGCTGGTTTCAAACCCTTGGGCTCAGGCCATCCTCTCACCTCTGCCTTACAAAATGCTGGGATTATAGTCTTGAGCTACCGTGCACAGTGAAAAACAACTTTTTTTTTTTTTTTTTTGAGTCGGTCTCACTCTGTCACCCAGGCTGGAGTGCAGTGGCATGCTCACGGCCACCACAGCCTTGACCAGCTAGGCTCTAGCAATCCTTCTGCCTCAGCCTTCCAAGCAGCTGGAACTACAGGTGCGAGCCACCATGCACAGCTAATTTTTGGATTTATTGTAAGGCCGAGGTCTCACCAAGTAGCCCAGAAAAATACTTTAAAAAAATTTATTAATGGCCGGGTGCAGTGGTTCAAGGCTGTAATCCCAGCACTTTGGGAGGCCAAGGTGAGGGGACTGCCTGAGCCCACGGGTTCAAGAACAGCCTGGGTAACTTGGCAAGACCTCATCTCTACAATAAATCAAAAAATTAACCGGGCGTGGTAGTGCGTACCTGTAGTTTCGGCTACTTGGAAGGCTGAGGCGGAAGGATTGCTGGAGCCCAGCAGGTCGAGGCTGTGGTGGCCGGGAGCGGCCACTGCACTCCAGTCTGGGCGACCGAGTGAGACTCCAACTCAAAAAAAAAAAAACAACAACAAAAAACAGTATAAGCATCAGAACCAGGAGCAGTGGCTCTTAACTGTAATCCCAGCACTTTGAAAGGCAGAGGCTAGAGGACTGCCTGAGCCCAGGGGCTCAAGATCAGCCTGGACAACATGATGAGAACTCATCTCTACAATAAATTAAGAAAATTAACTGGGTGGGGTGGCACGTGCCTGTGGTTCCAGCTACTTGGAAGGCTGAGGTGGAAGGATCGCCTGAGCCCAGCAGGTCGAGGCCACAGTAGCCATGAGTATGCTGCTACACTCCAGCTTGGGTGATAGAGTGAGACTCCGACTCAAAAAAAAAGGGATAAGGATCAGGTAAATTTTAACTTCATTTTACTACAAGGAATCCTTTCTCCAAATAAATTCTGGAAAACCATCCTGGAAATTTCAGATGACTTAGATTTTAGGCACCAGATGACCCATCTAACAACACTAAACCAGAAAACCAATGTGCTTTTACTGTGCCCAGTTAATAACTTACTCCCTCCCCTCAATGTAAGGCAGGCAAGGCAGATGATGGCTCTGCTCTGTAAACAGGAAATCCAGAACTCTAGAGAAAGGGAATCATTAAAGATCATGAGTCTCATCTATAGCAGAATTTGGGGTCCTGTCTAGCTGCCGGCTTCACTTTCTGAAATACAAATTTAAGGGGATATTTTAAAGCTTCAAACCTGAGGAGGGAGATTCTTGAGCTGATTTTTGACATTTCTACAGTACTTCAATTATATAACTCTATTATAACTTTAAAAACAGAATTCTCTGGGTTTGTCTCAAGTTGCTTCCATTTGAGATTTCTAAGGAAGTGTCTCTGAACTCTCCTGAACACTAAGTGTTTTGTAAATCCTCTTCTGAAGGTACTTTGAAGTGCTGGCGAGAGGCAGACCTTGCCTCCCACTCACACTGAAATGGCAGCTGGTTCTAGGACTGACAGCAAACACACAGGCAGGTGTTAAAATATTCTTCCAGGCACATTTCTACTTTTTCTGACTAAATCATACTATTTTATTTTACTTATTTTTTTTGTCGGAGTCTCACTCTGTCACCCAGGCTGTAGTGCAGTGTCATGCTCACAGCCACCACAGCTTTGACCTGCTAGGCTCAGGCAATCGATCCTTCCACCTCAGTCTTCCAAGTAGCTGGAACCACAGTCACGTGCCACCATGCCTGGCTAATTTTTTTTATCTGTTGTAGAGACAAGGTCTCATCATGTGGCTCAGGCTGGTCTTGAACCTCTGGGCTCAGGCAATCCTCTTGCCTCCACCTCCCAAAGTGCTGGAATTACAGGATTGAGTCACCGCTCCCGGCCCAAATCATGTTATTTAAACTTCAGATTTGATTTCACACACAAAAAATCTAGTAAGTATCAAATCCAGACATAACCTTCAGAACTTCCAGTGGAATCCTAGGACAGAAATCAGCACACTGCCCCTAATAATGACATTCAACACTGAGTTTATTGACAAAGGCAACACAAACTGACTTAAGTAAAAAGGCAAGTTTCATAAGGATTTAACCTATAGCCATAAATATGGCAAATGTCTTCACCCATTGGGAGAGAAAATATACATATATATATATATATATATATATATATATATATTTTTTTTTTTTTTTTTTTTTTTTTTTTTTTACTTTTTGTGACAGGGTCTCATTTTGTCGCCGAGGTTGGAGCGCAGGGGCTTGATCTTGGCTCACTGCAGCCTCAACCTCCTGAATTCAAGTGATCCTTCCATCTCAGCCTCCCAAGTAGCTAGGACTACAGGCACAGGCCACTATGCCTGGATAATTTTTAAAAAATTTTTGTAGCGACAAGTTCTCACTATGTTGCTCAGGCTGGTCTCAAACTCCTGGGTTCAAGCGATTCTCTCACCCTGACCTCCCAAAGTGCTGGGATTACAGGTGTGAGCCACCATACCTGGCCTAAAATTGTGTGTGTGTGTGTGTGTGTGTGTGTGTGTGTGTTGGAGTCTCACTCTTGTCGCCCAGGCTGGAGTGCAATGGCACATTCGCGGCACCGCAGGCTCTCCTGGCCTCAGCCTTCCAAGTAGCTGGACTGGAACTACAGACACATGCCACCACGCCCAGATAGTTTTGTGATTTGGATAGAGATGAGGTCTCACCAAGTTGCCTAGGCTGGTCTTGAACCCCTGGGCTCAGGCAATCCTCTTGCCTCAGCCTCCCAAAGTACTGGGATTACAGGCTGAGCCACCGCACCTGGCCAAAAAATTTTTTAAAAGATATATTCCTTTGGCTCCCATTCATAAGTCCAATAACAATCACAATCCCTAAGCTTCCAGCAGTTTCAAGGTATGCCTTTGACAAATGTTTACCTAGTACTCCAGCTAAGCCTGTTATTCTAGATCTTTTTGATCATCTGCAGCTGCCTAAGGTTCAGTAAGCCTGGTAAGTGGCTGCTTAATTACTGATAACCCAGATGAACTATAAATGATTTCAGAAAGGGGCTGGCTCCATTTACTGCTTGGCTTCTAAGAACTGGAAAAAACTTAAAGAATAAATAGCCAGACATTGTCATTCAAAGGGAAAGAGACTGCAGACTAAAGAAGTGATTTGCCCAAAGCCTCACCATGGATTCGTTACAAAATGAAACAAATCCCCAGTGTCCTATGGCAGCCTAACAAAATCTGCAATTCCTAAGAATATTTCATCAGACATTTTCACAGTACAGGAGCTCATACATGTGAGGGATTCTTATATGGGGTGCCCGAGGTAGTATCAGAGGCAGCAGCTTTGCAGTCTGAGAACTTGAAAGATAAGGTGGCAACAGCACAGAACTCACGAGCTGGGGCGCCAGAGGCAGACTGCCCAGGGTTGAGTTCAGGCTCTTGCACTTTCTAGTAGTGTGACTTCAGACAGGTTACTTCCCACCCCTGCTTTTCACATGTGGGGTACTTCCCCCTCCCCTTTTTCACATGCAGGGCACATGCACACAGGCCACAAATTTTGTGCCCTTTGTCACAATGACCCCAGATTCCTGTTGGGTGTGTTATAAACAGAGGAGCCATTCTTCAAGCCCTCTGCTCTGAGCACACCGCTAGACAGGTTACTTAATCTCCCCATGCTCTGGTTTCCTCAACTGTAAATCAAGTATTATCATAATACCTACCCTAAGGGCTCTGGTGAGCATTAAGTCACAACATCGAGTAAGTTCATTCAGCTTGGTGACCCCGCACCAAGTAAGCACTCAAAATAACGTCAGTATTATTAACCTCACACAGACCAGTATTTACAGACCACCGACACTGGCCAAACTTAGCTAGCTTTGACCACCATGGGAAAACATGATATGGAATTGGGGATTTTCTGGCTGGGCTGAAAACGTCTGGACACAGCAGCTCAGAGATAACAGATCCACTTTAGGACCTGACCTTGGAAGCCTTCCTGCCCTTCGCACCGATCTCAGCTCCAGAAAGGACACGTGCTGGGGCCCTACTACAGCCAGACTACGCGAGGCTTTCCCGCACTGTCTTTAATATGGCGAGGAGAGAGGGGACGCGCTCGGCGTGAATGCTGAAGCCGTCGTGAGGGCACCGTTTCTGTCCCGGCCTAGGGCTTCTTCCTAATCTACGGCCTCCTAGTCGAGGCTGCAAGTACGGGAGGCTCTGCCTTCAATGTCTGGGCAGCGGCTCAGATAAACGAAGGAGGGCACGAGACGCGTGCCTGAGGCTGGATTCACTTCAGGGGCAGGAGGTCCCCACGAAAGACTCGGGAACCGGACAGAGCCTTGGGGAGGTTCCCTGGTGGCCTTGACCTTGGAGCCGGAGACTCAATTTGCCGTCTTACTGGCCGCGGGCGACGACACGGCCCCTTCAGCCAGGGCGGGTATGTAGCCGAGCGCGGTGCCGGGTCCGGGAGGCCGGAGAACCCCCCGGTAGCCTCCTCCGGGCCTCTGTTTTCTCCGGAGGGTGCGGGGGCCCCGGGCCCTGCCTGAACACATGGCACGCGGAGCACCCGCCGCCGACAGCGGAGACGGAGGCTGGCCTTGGCAGCTCCGGCGAGAGGGTCGGGGCGGTGGGGACAGCCCCGTCCACCGGCCGGCGCGCCCGTCTGCGGGGTCACGCGGCTTCCCCGCCGGGCCCGGGCCACCCGTGGCGGGAGTGTGGTGGCCGCCGCCAGCCTGGCCCTCCCAGACGACCCGGCCTGGCCTCAGCCCAGACGACTTCCCGTCGCAGGCCTCACCTCCCTGCGCACGTTCAGCAACGAGTAATAGTCTTCATTGTCCAGCTCCTCCTCGCTCAAGGCCGTCGCCATCTTCGCAACCTTTCACCCCGTCAAACCGGCAAGGCCGGGCCCAAGAGGGCCCGGCGATCCGCGGCCGGAACACCACGGGCTGGCCCGGTTGCGCCACAGCGTCCCCTGGCGGCCCGGAGGCACCCGTGTCTGGCGGGACCGCGCCTGCGCTCTGCGCCCCCGCGCGGCCGAGGTCAGAACCCGGCGCCGGTGCTGCCCGGGCGTGGTGGCCACGTGGCTCCTTGAACGTACGGTTGGCCCGCCCGCGGCACGCGGCACGCGGCGTGGGTCCGCACCCAGGAGGCTGAGATCCAACCAGGCAGCCCTAGCCTTTCCGGGACTTGGAAGGGACACTTTGAAGTCAGACCTGGGAGGCTGTCACCCCCTGGGCACTGTGGAAACAAGCCCCTGCCACATCACCTATGTCTCTCCTCACTGGACCCAAACCCAGGGAGAAAGCACGAGTTGCCCCTAATGCAGGGCGCATCCAGATCCAATATCCCCACCGGATCAGCAGAGTTTGTCTCAGTGGGAGGTCCTTCGTGGACCCCCAAAATGAGATTTGTTCCTATCTCCAGGGTCTTTTCTCCTGGCCGCACAGAAGCTTTCCTGCCCAGAGAACGGGCTTCCTCAGTTTAGTTATTTATTGTTGCCCTAAATTTAGGAGTACCTGGCCATCTTTTCCGCTGCTAGATGAGAGGCAATACCCATTTGGTTCCTAATATAATCGTCTCTGGCAGGCGTGTGTAGCTACAGTCCCTACCCCAGAGCCATTCTCCTGTAAATTTCTCCCTTGTAATTTATCTGCGCAGTCTAATTGATTTCAACCTGGTGCCTGCTGTTTGGTGCATTATTAAAGATGTCTTGGTTACAATCATCTAAATAATTTAAATGTCTTCAAAATGCTGTCATTGTCAAGAGAAAATGGGCAGGGGCCCATCCTGGCCACCTGTCTGGTTCTTACTGACCTGTGCAAGTCTCGGGAACCTTTGTTCCTTTACTAACCATGAGTCCACAACCATCCCTGTTGCCCTTCATAAGCAGGTCTCCTGGGAAGGCCCAAACACCTGTCTGTGGATTTGAGACGGTGATTTCTTTCTCTTTCTAATTTTTGGCCAGATGTGCACCATCTGGGCCTGTGTATCGTCCCTTCCAACTTGCCGGGTCCTCTTAGGCTCTTTTGGCATGAGACACTTAGGTGTGCTGAGACAGATTGTTTGGGAAGGTTGAGTCAGTCCGGAACAGACTGTTCACCCAGGTTGTAAATCGAAGGCTATTTCTTTAGTTGTGTGAGGCTTCTCTACAAGTTTCCAAGGTCCATCACCTCTTCCAGCAATTCTTATGAGCTTTTCTTTTATCTACTTTGCAGGACTATGATTATGGCTAGACGGCATGCTGACATTTGCTGGTCTTTAAGAATTTCATACGGAGAGACTGGGGGCGGGGGGATCAACAATGTTTCCTTAGGTTTGTAGACATGAATTGGGCCATAATGCTCACTTGGGTAGAGAAGTTCTTTGCCATCCGCCTCTGCGTTGGAAAACACAGCCTCCAGGAATTATATAAATGGAACATAACATATGTTTCACTACATCCAGGTCTATGTTTCTATAATTGAGGATGACCTGGTTTTATCACCACTCAAACAAAATAGCGACTCAGGGATGCTCTGTGTCTGTCCTCTCTTGGGCCCACGAGAATTTGTATGATGGTTACTTGGAAAGTAGTTATGATAAGTACACTAACTTAGATACACCACAGGCCTAAGGAACGTGTTTATGTCAGAGACTGGCTCTCTCGTTTGTCCCCTCCTGATTCCCTAATCTTTGGCAAAATAATGGCGACCAGGAGCAGCACAAACGTATGTTAAAACACACCCAACAAACCACTCACGCAACAACCATCGACAAAGCTCAGCCCCTTGAACTCATGTCTCGCACTTTTGCTTTCTTTTTATTGGGTAAAGCCACAAAGCAATTTTGTAACTTAGCTATAAAGCAAGACCTAATAGACTATGTAATATAGCTGTATAACTCTATATACATCTGTGTACGTATTCTGTATGTGTATATATTACATATAATATACACATATATGCAATTGTTATTGAATTATCTCATCTTTAAATAGTAAACATAAGGAGAGCTATCTCCATCATCATTTTTTTTTTTTTTTTTTGACTTAGGGTCTCACTCTGTCTCCCAGGCTGGAGCACAGTGGCACCATCATGGCTCACTACAGCCTCAGCCTTCTGGGCTCAGGTGATCCTCTTGCCTCAGCCTTCCAAGTAGCTAGGACTGCAGGTGCACACTATCACACTGGACTAATTTCTTGATTGTTTTGTACTGAGAGTGTCTTGCTATGTTGCCCAGGCTGGTGTTGAACTCCTGAGCTCAAGTAATCCTCCCACCTCAGCCTCCCAAAGTGCTGGGATTACAGGCATGAGGCCCTGTGCCTGGGCTCCCCCATCATTCATATTCAGAATAACCCCAAAACATTTTGGCTTTTTGCACAGGTACTCTGTGCAGCCACTCAGGAAAGTTTCTCTGCTTAATGACTCAACCTGTGCTGGGGTGCTCCCTTCTAGCATGTACTGGAGTGAAGGTAGGGTTGCCAGATTAAACACAGATGCCCAATTACAATTGAGTTTTAGATAAGCAAGGACGGGTTTTATTTTTTATTTTATTTTTTGAGTTGGAGTCTGTCTGTCACCCAGGCTGGAGTGCAGTGGCATTCTCATGGCCACGGCAGCCTCGACCTGATGGGCACAGGTAATCCTTCCACCTCAACCTTCCAAGTAGCTGGAACTATAGGCACGTGCCACCATGCCTGGCTTTTTTTTTTTTTTTAATTTATTGTAGAGACGAGGTCTCACCAAGTTGCCCAGACTGATCTCGAACCTGCAGTCTCAGGCACTCCTCTCACCTTGGCCTCTCAAAGTGCTAGGATTATAGATGTGAGCCACTGTACCCATCCTAAGAATTTTTTTTTTTTTTTTTGAGTTGGAGTCTCACTGCATCGCCCAGGCTGGCGTGCAGTGGCACACTCACAGCCACCCCAGTGTCAATCTGCTGGGCTCCTGAGATCTTTCTGCCTCAGCCTTCCAAGTAGTGGGAACTACAGGCACATGCTACCATGCCTAGCTCTTTTTTAAAAAAAATTTATTGTAGAGACGAGGTCTCGCCAAGTTGCTCAGGCAATCCACTTGCTTCAGCCTCCCAAAGTGCTGGGATTACAGGCTGAGCCACTGAGCCCGGCCAGAATTTTTTTTTTTTTTTTTTTTTTTTAAGAGACAGAGGTCTTGCTCTGTTGCCCAGGCTGGAGAACAATGGTGTGATCATACCTTAAGGCACCGTCAACCTTCTGGGCTCAAACGATCCCACTGGTTCAGTTTCCCAAAGTGCTGAGACCTGGCCAACACTGAAGTATGTTTTAGTATAAGTCAACTATTAATAATATTGCGAGCCGGGCTCGGTGGCTCAGCCTGTAATCCCAGCACTTTGGGAGGCTGAGGTGAGTG